GAGATGTATCCAAAGTCTCCACAATATCAACGGAAACGCTTTTCCATCAATCAATACAATTTCCCCGTTCATATAATTCAATTGCGGTTTTCATATATATTTGTAAAAATAATTATTTTCATTTCTTAATTTTTTTAAAATAAGAAATAATCTTTCGATGGCAAAATAATTAATTTATTGCGATTATATTAATTATATATAATTAATTTTATAAATAAAAATATGTTTGTTTTTTGATTAGTAAAAAATATGGTTATTAATAAAAATCAACATTGTGTATAGTAAAATTAATTTTTTTCTTTGTTATATTTTTAAAATCATCACCATATTAATAGAGTTCAAAATTCACTGTGATATTTATTTTCATAGTGATTTTCACACTTCATGATGATTATAAAAATTACTGTGATCGTTTTAAGTCAATGAGATGTTTTCAAATAAAAAATCATTGTTTGAGTTTTATCTCACTTATAATTTATTTTTATTTTTATTATAATTAAATAAATGAGACTAATAAAAAGTAATAATTATATTTATTATAATTTTTATTATGAATAATAATAAAAGTATAAATATGTTTTGATGAGATTTATATTTGATGAGACAATAGATTGAATTATTTCAAAACAATAATAACTATGTGGTATAGTATTATATAGTTTACAAAATAATACATTAATTGCATTTAAACAAAATAAAAACACCACTCTCAATCCATTTGACTATGACTACTATTGATACATTTCAAACAACCTGTACACTTATTCTTTCCTCTCTTCTAAGTGGCGTGTGTTACAACGATATTATAAACACCTTTCAAAAAGATGTGAATTCAATTAAAAGTATCGAACTTAAAGGCTCAAACATATCGATCATTTTTCATGACCACTTTACTCCGCTCAGAATTCATCAAACTAGAACATCATACAGAGTTAAAAATGAGCCAATCCAAATATATTGGAAGCTTTCAAAAAAGAGCTTGCTTCAAGAGAATATACCTACTACTTTTTTGGTCTGAAACCCGAGTCTACAGATATGTCTGTTCAAGTCTGTTTGGGTGAGTATGTTCAAATCAAATCATTTCATTTGACTTGTAATAAATGTGGGGTCTATTCCATCATTAAATTTAGCACGTCTGAAGATGTCGATAATGTCTTCAAGAACTATTCTGAAATCAAAGAAAAAATTGGCACCGAAAAATTTTGTATTAAACATTACAAAAAGGAGACAGAGACAGAGAAATGTTTGGAAGTGATAATAAAAAACATTCACCAAGACTTAATTGCAAATTCGGAATTTTTCGAGTACTTCAATTCGTTTGGAAACATCAAAAATTTCAACCTCTCGGAAATCAACCCAAAGTTCAACGCCAAAGTGTTGTGTTTGGAGTATGTCGAAGAAAATGACGCAAAAACGTTAATTGAAGAAGTTGATGGGATTGATGTATTTGATTGTGACATGCCCCTTTCAGCCAGTTTTGTAAGAAAGAATGCCACCATCACAATGGTTAACAACACAGACAACAACAGAAAAGGCGTTGAAAACAGTTCGAAAAACAACAATTTATTTTTATATTAACTTGATCAACAAGACCAAATACCTTAATTAACTTTATTTTATTTATTTAATAATATGTTGTTTAATTATAAATAGTAACTTAAAACTTACACAATATAATTTGTATTTTAATATTAAAAATCAACAATAATTGACTTTTGCTTTGTTTTTCATGTTTAAAACTTCAAATAATTATCAAACATAACAACAATATATTTTCAATATATAACTAATTTATTGTGTTACAAGTCACACACTTAAAACGTCTGACTGTATGAGATTTGTTTACTGGATTCGTGTATCTATTTTTTGTCCACTGGACAAATTAGTTTCCATGGAAGGCAAAAATAATTATTATATAAATAGATTGTTTTTATATTGTAAAATTAATAAAATTTTATTTTGCTGATTTATTTTAATGTTTGCAAAATTTATAATATTTGGAATATATTTTAGAACCATAACAATCATTTTAAACTTATTAAAGTTTAATGTAATACTTGTGTACAAGAAAAAAATGTCATAAGAAACAATACATAATCGAGACATTATTATTCAAATATATTAATTCAAATAATATAATGCTATAATATTTTTCAACAACTTAGAATTACTATCAAACCTTTTTTTGAAAAATATAGTATTTAAATAAAAACAGTCAATTTAATTATTCGTTTTGTATTGTAAACTGTTTTCCAAAACTCTGTACCGTTTCCAAAATTTATATAAACCCTTTGTCCTAGTTTCCCGTTATTTACTATTTTTTATTTGTTTTATTTTTTATTTTCCTGTTTGTTGAACCAACAACGGTACACAGTTTAAAACCCTTAAAAATCAATACAGTTTCAATTATTGAACAAAAAATCGGGAAATCACCCAAATATTGGGTAAATCTTTCCCGATTTTACAGGTTCGTTATTTGGTCAGTGATTCATTTTATCACTAAACGTAAGAAATATTCCATCTTTCAGATAAACATAAAATAAACGACAATAAAACAATAAACCAATGTTGTGATGAAGGACATTATTGCATCAAATGATACAACACTTTAATTAATAATAAGTTTTTGTTTAATTCAACAATTAAAAAAGTAATCGATAACATAAAACAAACCTTTAAACAATCAAGTTTATTAATCAAAAGAGTCTTAAATAAAATAAACAGTTCAAAAATAAAAAATAAAACTTTTTTAATTGTAAGTCTTAATGTTATTTTTTCTCTCTCAATGCTTGTTTTACTCATTAGTACTTTTCATTTTTATCCAGAACACGACTTGGTGATTCTGTAAACATGGACATTTAATTATAAAGTTGTGTTTATGTTTTTGGCAAAATTTGGGTTATGGTAATCAAATTTTTGATCCCAAGTTTGTTTTTTATATTTTTCAAGTAAATTTTTGGTGCAAGATTTATTTGTCAAGTAAAATTTAAAAAAGTCGGGTTCGTTATTTTGTTTTTTTGAGTAAATATTTATAACAAAAAATGAGGGTTAAAAAAGGAAAAATTATTAAGAAATTATTTGTCTAAAAAATCGGGGCATCCCAGTACAGAGTTTTGAAAAACAGTTTATATAAATTTCGATTTTAGTATGTTTCTTCAATTGTTTGACATTTTGATTTGTACAGATATACAATATCAATACAAATATAAACAAAATAAAATTGTTATAAACATATACTACAATTATCATTTATAATAGTGATATTATATTTTATAAATATAAAATTATAACAAATACAATTGTTATAATATTTTGACAGTGCCTAAAATGTGTGGGAAATATTTAAAGTATTGGGGCGTAAATAGTAAAATTAAGAAGCCCCTGTTTTTTCCTTAATTCGATGAAAAAAATGTTTTTTTTGTTTTATAAAACACAAAATTTATTATTGTTTTAATAATACAAAAACTTTTAATAACAC